TCTCTCCCTCTCCTTATCTCAACCCACGAGCCTTTCGCTATGTTTTCTCTTCCCTGCCCAGCTGAGGAGGGGAGTGATAGAGCAGCTTTGGTGGGCACCGGGCGTCCAGCCAGCGTCAGCCCGCCACATTTGCTCACAGCTATTAGTAATTCAGATGCTTTGTATTTGATTTCCTTGAGATCTCATGGTTGAATGCCAGCTGATTCCAGCAAATTTCTTCTATTTTACCTTTTACTGACAGTTTAGTTTGACATAAATGCCCCTGTGTAAAAAAAAACAAAATAAAACCCAACAAACCTACATTAATCATATTTAATATTAAAAAACTCCATCCAATTATGACTGGAACTGGAACGTGAAACCCGCTTTGCAATAGCTAATTGCTTCAGCTTTAAGGTGCTGTTCCACTCTTTCATGCCTAAGCATTTAATAATTTGATAGTCTTTGTTAACCTGAATATCCCTTCTAGAGCTTCACAACCTTGGCTTGAATTATATTTTGTAAGTGGCTTCTGGAAGTGGCTAAGTTTGGGATATGTTTACGTGATCAGGAGATTTCTTTCTGGAGCCTTAGCTGAGGCCTGTCACAGCTGGTAAAATGTCCAATTTGTGTCCACATCTGATAAGGACAGCTTAGAGTCAGACAAATTTAATATATCAACAAGTATCTCACAATCCCTATGAACTGAAATTCTTTGGCTAAACAGAGAGTTCAGAGTCACAGTAGCAATAGCAAAAGCACAGATTTTTCTCAAAGGGGTTGATGGTAGTGACTGCCAGGTAGTCTGTAAGCCTGCTATATGGTCAGGGCTTGCATGGAAATTTAAGGAAGACTGTCTTAAAGAAGAAAAGCTAAATGCATCTTTTTTAGTTGCATTCACAACAGAGGAACCCGGAAAGAAAATCCTCCCTGTTGTTTCTATATATGGTAAAGGAATTTTGTTCTAATTCATACATTTAATTTTGACAAGATCTGTACATCAGAAGAAAGCCCAGTTTACATTGGCTTCAGCTTGAAAGTGGAGTACAATGTAGGTGGTCTCTGACTCAACTTGAGTTAGTTCTTCTCAATGTTTTCTTTCTTCCCCGCAGGTAAAGTGTGTTCGATACTGGCCAGATGACACAGAGGTCTATGGAGATATTAAAGTCACATTAATTGAGACAGAACCGTTGGCAGAGTATGTCATACGCACATTTACTGTACAAAAGGTAAGGAAATCTTCAATCAGTGGAAATTTTGATCCAACACTTAATTTGTATTCAGAAATGTGAACTCTGGGAGACATATCCTGTTACTATTTGGACAGGTTTCACTTCAGAAACCTAAATTTTTGTCAGAGATTCCTATTTTGGAGAAATGATTTTAAATTAACATCTTGATGTAGCCACAACAGTAGAATCCACAGTGCATGAAGTTTAAATGCATTCAAAAGCCAGCAGATCGTTGATAGTATGCCAGGAATAATAATTGTTGTGTTTCACAGTGGCAAATTACAGATGAAAGAAGGTATCAGTTAAAATGGATGCCAGGTAGGGTCCCCTTTCAACAGAAGTAAAAATATAATAAAGGCAAGAGTATAAAAATTATCCCCAAATCGGCATGATTTGGAAGATTTTTGTTACGTGTAATTAGAAATTGGAAGTCTAAGTGTCAGACTAGTCCAGGTCTGTCCAAATTACTCTCTAAACATTTGATAAGTGGTTTTAAAGCTTTTCAAAAATTCCTGCTAAATGAACTTCAGTCACACTGGGATTATTGTTCCAGTTTTCTAATACATCAGCTCCATATTTCATTAAATCAGAGAAAAACTTGGTAAGATATGCTAATGCCAAAATCTGACAGGTTGAGGACCTGCTGCTGGATTCCACCTATGTATTTGATAGGTGGAATGTCACATATAAACGATAAAATGACGATAAAATGTCACAGCTAACTGACACTTCTGTGTTACCCTTTGCAGGGCATATACAGATGGTGTCAATTTTCACTTACCAGTAACTTGGTTTCACCAGAAAGGCTGAGTGATGGGTTTGGGTACCGGTTTCTGCCTTTTTCACCACCAGCTGTAATCTCAAACTGAGATTTTTTGGCAGGACATGGCAGAAAATCTACTGTTGCCTGGGGCATGCCCACTCTGTAGGTGTTTGTTCCCCAAGCTGTTGCTTCAACACCTCAGAAGGGATTTAAGAGTGACTTCATTTATGACAATGACACCAAAGGAGGCTGGGTAAGAGCAGCCATGGTGTGCTGGGACTGAAGTCACGCTGTAAAGTTCCTCATCAGCTGGGTTTGAACTCTTAAGACCACAAGTTTGAATTGGGAGCTGGCATTTAGCTTCATAGTCATCAGTTGTGTGCTACCCCCTTCATTTGTGCTTGGACTTCAGCTTGACATGTCTCGGAGTGGAGGGCGGCACAGGACACGTTTCTGCGTCTACTGAGAGCTAAATGCTTGTTCCTCCCTCTGCATGAGGGAAAGGAGCAATGGTCAGAATGTGCTGATTGTGGTCTGATGGAAGAAAAATAGAGGCTGTGTTGTCTCCTCAGAAAGGCTACCATGAGATCCGAGAGATTCGGCAGTTCCACTTCACCAGCTGGCCCGACCACGGGGTTCCTTGCTACGCCACAGGCCTCCTGGGCTTCGTTCGGCAAGTGAAGTTTCTCAATCCCCCAGAAGCAGGACCCGTTGTTGTGCACTGCAGGTATGCGAGCTCTTTGTCTCAGCCTTTCCTCCACCAGCCTTTTCATCTTTTTTCCTGTTCTCTTGTCGTCTGGCAACAATCAACTACGTTTTGTGTCTTTAAGAGTATAATTTGTGGGCCTCACCAGGAAACAAAGTGGAATTTGCTTTTCTTTTCTAAAGTGGCAGCTGTGGAGCTTAGCTGGCGTGAATTGGACATAAGTAGGTCAGAGAGGGCCGTTCAAATGTGGAAGGCTCTCTGGTGGCCTATACTCTTTTAGATGCTTGTAGCAGAGCTGGGAAAATGGTAAATATCTGGGACAGCCATTCCAGTTGTTATCTACAACAAACCTCACGTGGCAGAAGGGACAATGTGTACAAAAAGACAGGGAATTTTAAAGTAACTCTGCTTTTCTGTACCCACATGCGCTGCAGTTCAGTTTTGTACCAGCATCAATAGTCTTATCCGAAATGTTGGTCTGGATGGCAGCGTTGTCCAGCTTGGCCTCCTCGAAGCCCGGGAGCTGGAATGGGAAGGCACTGTATGAATATGTAGGAGAGCGTCCCTGACATGAAGGACGGACAGTTGGAGGTGTGATCAGGCATGCTGCTGGTGGTGGGGGAGCAGCGGCACACGCACAGGCTGGCACCCGTTAGACGACTTCAAATGCGAGGAAGGACATTGCTACAAAACCAGAGTTTGGGTTTGTAGCAGCTACTTCTGCAGCGCTCGGGGCATGTGTTCAATAAAGGAGACGTGGCTGGAGCACAGGGCTAGAGACCAGAGCTGGCTATCCCAAAATCTCACCGCTAATGATTCCGGAGGCAATTACCTCTAAATGCCATGCTGTGTGATCAAGAAGAGAGAAAGAATACCTCCCACAACCAGTTTAAAGAGGAAAATAAATTAAATCTTACCTTTTTAAAACTGTTTGGGGTTGGTGGGGTGTTATGTTTTGTTGTGTTGTTTTTTAGCAAGCAATGAATCAGTTTTACAATAAAATACAGCTAAGCCTGAGGAGCTGGCAGAAGATAATTCCTTCAGAGCTCAGGGCCTGAATTTGCTACCTTGGTGCCATGACATGGGTATGGCCCTGGAAGGAGCCTGAACCTGATTCATTGTCACCCGGAAAGCAAGGAGAAATTTTTTCATCCTTCACGTTTTAATGAATAAATGCCATTTCCTTTCCGTTATTTATCTGCTTTTGAATTTTAATGACTTGCTTTACGTGGTAATTACCAAAATCTCCCTACCGATGCCTGGCTGGATAATATCACTGTTCGATATTTATGAAGTGCCAGGATCCTCTAAATATAGAAATGTTATAACTATTTGTTAAAATTCTGAAAAGCTGAGAGATAAAGGGAGAGGAAATGCCACTTATTCATTAAAATTGTGCAAATGAAAAATATCTTCTCTCTATTCAGCAGTTGATTAATCTGGTCCATTAATTTATGGTCATTCATATCTCCTTGCTTTCGGCTCTGCTGGAGTTTTCATGCAGCTGAAGTTTCACTGATATGAGCTGAGTTTTCTTTCTTCCTTTGGAGTAATGTGAAGAGACGTTCTCCTCTCTCTATCCTTCACACCTAAACAGCTTGGATGATTTCCCAGGAGGGAAGGAGGGGACACAATGACAACACAGTTTTGCAGGAGATGGTCCAATTCTCGCAAGCAGCGGGGAGCTCTGAACTGAAGGTTTTGAGTAGCCTCGAGCTCTTTTCTCCATAATATTACAGTCCACAACTTGACATCACCTTCCTCAGGACCCAAACCCTTGATTAAAAAGGGAAAAGAAATGTTTGAGGTGGAGGACTGAGCCCCTTTCATCATGCCCACTTGAATAAACGTATGCATGCCTTTTAAAGAGCCTCATGGAAGAAAATTCCTGGAATTGTGTCTATTTGCAACCTGGAGGCTGCTTTCCCACAGCTTGTGTGATGAGAGGTGTTCAGGTGAACCGACCTGTAAAATCATAATGATTTTTTTAGAGTAATTTAATTTTTACAGTAATTTAGAGGGTTTTTTAGGGTAAATTTTTGTTGATGTTCAAGAACACAAAGCTTTTTTTTTTCCTTCTACCTGGGTCCATTTCCCTTTCAAGAAATATTATTTCACCTCATTCTCTTAAATCCTAAGCTAATTTAGCTACAGACAAAAATCAGCCCATTAGGGAGAGGGGAGCAGCTTCCAAGAGAAGACAACTGTGTCTGTGATACAGTTCTTTTCTCCTCCATAAAGCCCTGCCCTTCAATGGTCCCTTGATCATGCAGACCCTCTTTTTTTTTTTTTTTTCTTCTTTTTTTAGCGCTGGGGCTGGGAGAACAGGGTGCTTTATTGCCATCGACATCATGCTTGACATGGCAGAGAACGAAGGCGTGGTGGATATATTCAACTGTGTGCGAGAGCTACGATCCCAAAGGGTCAATTTGGTGCAGACGGAGGTAGGTGCCAACAGGTCTCCTCTTATGATGAAGCTTTCTTGTCAGCTTCTCTGCTCAACAGGAGCCCAGCAATTCATTAAGTCAACACTTACTTCCTCTGTGATGTGATTATACAGAACTTTCGGTGGCTAAACATGACCAGATGTGCACCGAATCACATTCACTGGCAGCTATTCGGGGCCTCCAAGACAGGAGGGCAAACCTTAAACTTTAAGTCTTAGCATTGCTGATTAATTTTATTCTCACAATAGAAAAAAAACTAGCTCTAGCTCCTGAATCCTCTCATGACTCATTCATATATATTTTGCAGACTTGAATAGTATGTAGTTTGTATCAATTGCAAGCTAAACAAATGAAACATCCTTGGTTCAAGCTTTGGGTGCTGACTAAGCAAGCTGCTTCATCATGTAGCAGCTGCACAAACTTCCATGGAACTGTTATCCTGCTGCACAGGTTTTATGTATGTGCTTCAATGCCTTCCCCTCCTGAGGGACAGGACAATAGCCTGGAACAAAGAAGGGCTTTTAACTTTGTTGGACTTCCCATATTTAGTTCTTTGCCCAGAATACCAAGAGTCCAGGGGTTTGAAGAGACAAATGGAGCAGACCTGTTAGTACAGTTGTTTCTCTGGTGTTATCACAGGTCCAAAGAACAATCCATTCCTGACCATTGCCTTGTGGTTGTGAACAGAAAAGCTTTACACCCTGATTTCCTCCTCAGCCCACCCCCACTTTGTCCTGGCGTTCCTGAGAGTGGTGACTTCCCATTTTACTTGTAAATTTGAAATGAATACATGAGACCTCACGTTCAATGATGGATGAAATATGCTCACAAAGCTGTCACATAGCACACTGTGTAATTTGTCTCCACATGAAACAGAGCCAAATATGCATATTGGGCATGTTTTCAGAGAAAAAAAAAAAAAGCTTGTGATATTTCATGAGCTATATTGAAAATATGATTTTAATATCTTATCCCCTCCCCTATGCAGGAACAGTATGTATTTGTCCATGATGCCATTTTGGAGGCATGTCTCTGCGGCAACACGGCCATTCCAGTTTGTGAGTTCAGATCCATATATTACAACATCAGCAGACTAGATCCGCAGACCAATTCCAGCCAGATAAAAGATGAGTTTCAGGTAATTTCATATGTCTTGGTCATTGCAGTTGTGTATTGAAGGTGTTTAATCAAGTTCTACATGTTATTCTACGATTTCCAACAGAACAGAGAAGGGGGACACTGAGTCGATGTCTGATTTCAGCTGGTTTTTGTTGTTTTACTACTGGATTAGGCAGAGATTTGTTTTTAAGTACGGTCTTTTCAGCTTTTGGCAAGGAAAAAATTCCCCATCACTTCAGTAGAGCAAGGGTAGTAATTTTTGCAGATAATGTTGTACTTCTCATTTCCACAAATATTCTGTTGTTCATTTACTTCTGTAATTTATGCAGAAACATTTATGCCTCAAGGTCCCTTATTATCCATTCTTGTGGCTCATATGCTGCTTGAAGTCTTGACAATCAACTTGTTGACATCCTTCCAGACAAAGGAGAAAGTGAGCTGTATGAGCATTACTGTATCTATTACTAATTTTCTATTAACTGAATCCCCCAGTTCACTACATATGTTTTGCCAAGTACCTGGTGGTGAGAACTGGAATATAGGAAAACTCACAAGTGTTAGAGTAGTGCGGTTTGCCTGGGGCAAGCGATGAAATGGGGACCCTGCCACTTTTTGTCATCACCATTGCTTACCTCACCCTAATAAATGGGCTCGAGACACACAAGCCACAAGCCCTGTGCGGTTGCATCTCTTGCACAATAGAGAATTCACCCTGCAGAACAGTGAACTAAGCTTTCCAGTCTTATTCCCCATATATCTGTAAATCCCTTTAGGATTTTCGGCCAACACCCATGTATGGCAAAAACATAATAATGTGGGAAACCTGGCGCAAGGTGAGTTTGACGCGAAAGAGAGAGACACCAAGACCGTTCTTAAAAGGTGGAGATTCCTTTAATTGTAGGAAATGTGTTTTCATCCCCTTTCCCATCAAAGTATCGTTTGCAGCAGAACATTTTCGAGGAGCCCCAGTCTGAGCCAGATGCCTCTTTTCCTCCCTCTCTACACAAAGGGAGAATGCGCTGTTTTTATCTGAAAACTTACAGGGAATCATCAGGGTTGGTACAGTGAGATAAAGAATGTAGACCCCAATTGATGACGGTACAGTTTAAAAAAGATCTGGTTTTATCAGGTGATATCAGATCTGTAGAAGTGTTTCTGGTTCCGGATGTTTGGCGTGGAGGAACCAAAGCCTAACTTCATCAAATGCTGTTATGCTATTAAAAAGAAAGTCACCGCTTGCTGGGCTTACTTTGTCGTCGTATGAGATGAGATTTGTCACCTGTGTGCTTGTTCTTTTGAGCTGCCAGGGGCTGGCAACTTCTTGCGTAAGGCGTTCATTCTCTGCCTAGTTGTAGAATCTTATTTTTACAGGATTCTTCAGCCCTAATTGTCTGGATTTAATGCAAAAGATGGTATCTTTTCCTACAATCTTTATGAACCAGTTGATCTAACTATAGATCTGTTGGTACAATTTGTATTATTTAGGTCCCAGTGGCTATCAGGTAAGGCCGTGAATTTCTCATGCACTACATGTTGTCTGAACATGCAAAAGCTCATTCTGGAGAGTTTTTGTAATCTGAATGAGTAGAAAAATGAGAGAGAGAGGGAAAGGGCATAAATAGATAGGAGTAAATCACTAACAAGTCACCTGCCTATTTATCTGCACTCAGAGATCTGAGATTTCATGTTGCTTCCCCAGCCAGACTACCTGCTTTCCATCTCTAGGCAAAGGGACTTTTATGTAGATCCTGCATGATTTAGAGCAACTGTATTATTTCAAATTTTACACTTTGACACATTCCTTTACCTTTGATTGCTTGACCCTCCTCTTTTCTCCATTCATAACCTCTCTGTGGCAGAAGTCAAGCTCTTTGTAAGAATTTTTGTCCTCTAAATATTTTGTGCTCCTCTGATGGCTGCAAAGGAGTTCACTGTATGACTGCATGGGTTTTGCTCAGGAAGAGGACACATAACAAGTGAAAGTAGAATGACATCAGATAGCCACTGATCTACCATGACTTAAGCGACAGTGTTAAGATGCGTTCACTTTGACTTGCTATTTTTGATCCTTGCTGACCAATCTGTACTGGTTTGCCAGGAGGCCTCCGCAATGGATAACACAAAAGAAAGTTATATTTAAAGAAATACAGTCTGTCAAACTGTTGGAAAGACAGATAATGGTAAAAGACTGACAGCAAGACCCCAGAGATAAGGTACGACTATGTAAGTGAAGCATCCTATGTGTCACTCCAAAAGGAAAGTAGCAACCTAAATATAATATATGAAACAAATAGATTTTCCAGTTTAAAAATTTAAAAAAAAATTTTCCAGTTTTTATATGCATTGTTAAGATAAATCGATAGTTTGACTTAGGAATCAATCACCAGAGGATTTGAACCCAGTCTGACCTGCTAGGAGAGCCAGGGATCTGCACAGGATCCACTTGAAGAGGGAGAAGGATGTGTTCTTCCACCCTAGGGATGGTAGAAACACAAGGAGGTTTCACTCCATGACCGGGTCAAAGCTGCAACTTGTACCTGTGACAGCTATTTCCAACCTCTAGGAAAGAACAGAAATGTTACCTAACTGCTGCAAGTTTTAGAGCTGGAAATTGCTAGTAGGTGTGTACTGCCCTCAATTTCTGCTGGAGCTTACAGTGTTCGGAAGAACACCTCAGGACGATGCGCAAAATGCAATGTATTATAACAGCAATGAGCTCCTTCTTTTTCATTCTCTGGAATCCCAAAGATCTGCTAGACTAAGTACATTTAAAATAAACGTATCGTGCAGATGGCATCCTTCTCGGAAGTAAATTCAAAGACACTCAGCCTGCTTCTGTATTTCTTTCCCTTCTTCCCTCCCTCCTTCACAGACTCTCAATATTGTGACACCGCGTGTTCGGCCAGAAGATTGCAGCATCGGTCTTTTGCCAAGGAACCATGACAAGAACCGCTGCATGGATGTGTTGCCCTTGGACCGGTGCCTGCCGTTCCTCATCTCCGTGGATGGCGAATCAAGTAACTACATCAATGCTGCACTCATGGATGTAAGCAGCACTGCACTGTCCTAGTCTGCATCGAGTTTATTCGTTCTCAGGATAACTTTTTTTCTGGGAGAAAGAGATCTGAAGGACAAAACTGTTTTTAACTGCAGTTTCAGGGTCTGACATCTCCAAACTGGGCAAAGGCACACAGAAATGTGTCACCTAGACTATGATTATCACACTACCATTGTAGTTCTGCCTCACATTGGTGGAAAACTTTTGACAAAGAAGTTCAGGAGCATGCAGTCTGAGGCTGTACTGTAGAAAGGCAGATGGATAAGGAAGTGGTGGGACAACTCTTCCCATACGTTGGTTGTTATATGAATTGGTAATGAAATGTTTGCCAGGTCAGCTCTTTGAAAACAATAGTTTGCAGTGCGGAGCGAGTGATTTATGTAAGTTTATGCAATTAAGAGTATGGGAGTACAAGGATCAGATGTGCAAAATACTTTGAGGCTGAAGGACATGAGTTAAACTGATGTGAATCTGTCTGAAGGCATTTTCCCTTGCTTTGTTTGTAGGCTAAAATCTCACGGCATAGATCATTTGTATAGGGTGAATTATGTTGATGGTTTCTTTCTGCTGTGGTGCCTAACTGCCTTTGAACAGAAATGTCTTTAAAGCCACTAATTATTTGGAGTATGTGTAAATATGATCTAGGGTGAAATGTCATCATTTTTTCCCTAGTAAGGTTGGGGTCAGTCTTTTTTAATTTTGTCTGTTCTTTCAGTCTTTGGGGAACAGTGATACTATTGCATTTAAGAGCTTAAGTCAAATGATCATGGAATTAATTTTAGATTTTTTTTCAGAAAGATTGTGAAGTTTTCATTGCAAATATGCCTAAGGAAACTCTTTTTTTTTCTTTAAAGTGTGTTTTGTGCTTTGGCAAATCTGCAGAAGCACAATCTATTCTTCTCTGGTTTCTTAGGGACTGGGAATGTGTTTGCACATTTCAGCCCTCATTACCTCAAATGACTTTGCTAGTACTTGTATCCTTCCCCCCAAAATTCCTGCAGTTTAAAATTTTTTGCAAAAAAGGAATTTTTCATCTGACACTGAAAGTCTGCCACTATCATGTTCTCTGGCTCTGCTTTGTCTTTTTATAGAGGAAATGGCAGATTTTGTGACCGACTGGGAATGTGTTTGCACATTTCAGCCCTCATTACCTCAAATGACTTTGCTAGTACTTGTATCCTTCCCCCCAAAATTCCTGCAGTTTAAAATTTTTTGCAAAAAAGGAATTTTTCATCTGACACTGAAAGTCTGCCACTATCATGTTCTCTGGCTCTGCTTTGTCTTTTTATAGAGGAAATGGCAGATTTTGTGACCAAAAAAAAAAAAAACCCCAAAAAAACAAACAGAGGGGAACAGCCAAAATCCCACATTTTCATTATTCCTGTTGAGGACAGACCTTGCAAATCCTTTGTCTTTTGTAGTACCTTCATAACTGCAGTCTTGTACTGAGCATGGACTCTTACAAGAGATCATCCATCCCATATGGCCTCGAACTATCATTAGTTCTTTCGTTCTGTGAAGACAAGCATGTGCTGGGGAGCATTTGACATCACAGTCCCAGCGCTGACCATTTTATTTACAGATTTCTCATGTTTATCTCATTATTTTTTTTAAACATCCCCCAAATCTTATTTGACTTGCAGCTTGCTTTGTGTATTACATGAAAGCTATGATGAAAGAAGTGCTACAGCAGGAAGAGGATGCTGGTAACCTTGAATGGGTTAGAGCCTGGGTTTGGAAGCATGAACTGTCCCAGGAAGGCAGCCTGGCAGACTGCTGTAGGCTGAGTTCACCAGAACTAACCTTAGACACAGAACGCCGTTTGAATCCGCCCTCAGGGGTGAGGCACTCGGTCTGGGCACCCAGCTAAAACTCTGCTGGAGACTGTCTCAGCCTGTTGGCTGCAGAACATTAAAAACCGGCCTCTTCTGCCTTGAGTTAGCTTTTGGGAATACAGCCAGAGGGCTACTATTGCCCACAGAGGGGGAGAATTCCCCCCCAACATATTTTGAGACTCTTGACCTTTCCTCTTCATGTCCTCTGTCCCTTTCAAGTAAATAGACCTTAGGATCTTTCCTGTTCTTTCCTCAATCACTGGAAGGCCATGTTTGCATCTGCAAAATGGTTTGTTAAGAAGAAAAGAGAAATACTGTCCCTCACCTTCCCCTAAAACAATTGAACGATGAGACTGAGGTTAGAGGGCTTTTTTGAGGTGAAACAATAGCACCAGAAATTAAATGTCAGCATCGCAGGCTCTGAATATTGCCCCACAAGCTCTTAAAGGAAGGCTGGGATCCGAACGTGCCACCTCTGTAGCACTGCATCACCAGGGAGCAAGAGCAGACGGAGGGCTAATCCCTTCCATAATTCCTAGAATCCATTGCAGCAAGAAGGATAGCATTTGCTTCCAGCTGTTTTCTTTACAATTATTAATATTACTGGTGGTAGTAGTAGTAGTAATAGTAGAATTAGTATTATTTGCTGAGTCTCAAAATATAAATAATTGATTTGGGTAATCTCTGCTCTTGTGACACTTCTTTAATGAAATGTCTTCATTGGGAGCAAAAGAATCCCATTATGAGACATTCATTCATTGCAGAGCGATAACAAGGAGAAGGATATGTGATTTGTATAATCTGGTTAAATGGCTCAGATTGCCTAGCCATAGCCTCCTGGGTATAATATTCATTTGAATGAAAGTTGATTGAATTTTTTTTTTAACTAATCTTATTCTTTTGTTAGAGCCACAAGCAACCTGCTGCCTTTATTGTAACCCAGCACCCTTTGCCCAACACCATAGCAGACTTCTGGAGGCTGGTGTTTGATTATAACTGCTCCTCTGTTGTGATGCTGAACGAGATGGATGCAGCACAGGTAGGTGATTTTTCATCATTTCTGTCATGCAGCGTTCCACTCAAATCCAGATGGTTTTAAGAGTATTTCTGCTGCCATTTTCTTGTGCTCCCCCCCACCATGCAGTAAATTAATGAAGGGGAACTGAAACTAGTAGGTAATGTTTTGGGTTATAATGAAGAATAAGTCCACATGCTTGGCTCCTACTGAGGCAGCTAATTCTTACTGCAGTTAACAGGGATATCTGAATACGTTGTGTTTGTGGGCCTAAATCTTCCTACCAAACCCGATTTCTTCCCTTTCAGAGTTTTGTCTGTCTTTGGTTCAGAAAAATGTTCCCTACCACAACGCCAGTGTGCTTCATGCTTGCCTGTTCACATGGCATTTCCAAAAGGATATAACCAAGAGAGATGCTGAAATCGTTCAAAGGGTCTTTTCCCTGAGATTTCTAATGCAACTGTGTGATGCCGAGAAGGGTGGTTTGCACTGTTTCTGGAGAAGCACATTGTGCTCTGTTTTTTGGGTTTTTTTTTTACCTTTCTAGCGTCATGTATGTCGGTTTCTTGGATACTAAACACACCATTATTTTCAGGAGTTGAGCTAGCCAGGGGAGGAGCTGTTGCAGTTCCTCCTGTACAAGCATTTCCAGCCACCTTGCTGATGAGTGGCAGAAGATAACAGCTTTCAAAAAGGCATAATCATGCAATTTGTGTGAAGAGTACATTTGGCATGGCTAATTCACCCATTACAGCACTTGTTAAACAAGAGGAGAGGAACCCTCAAGTAGCTGGTACTTCATGGATTAATTTTTCATTTGTCTCTTCTCTGTCTTCAAAATCTTACCACACTTGAAGGCAGTGAGATTATTCATCTCTATTTTGATGGTAAAGGAGAAAGCAGTCACACCTTTCATTGAGGGGATCTCCCTTCAGGGTGAACACTATGGGATTTCATTTCCAGCTGCAGTAAGAGCTCTGCTCATGAGTGGGTGCTCTTGGTGACCCACAGAGTCCCACCATTGTGCAAGGAACTGGAGGTCCTGTGCATTTGTTGCCTCCTATCCAATTCACCCTGCTTGATTCTGTGTCTTGGCATTGAATCCAGAGGCAAATTTAATCTTTTCCTTTTCTTCTGACATTTTAAAGAAAAACACAGCTTTTTCTAGAAATGACACACTTTCTCACACTTTGTTCTTGGAAAACACAAACCTATCAGACTCAGCCAGTGTTATTCTTGCAACTGTCTTTCCGCACAAGACTTTACCTGCTTTGTTTTTTTTCTGAGCAGAGTTTTGTTTTCATGAGGGAGTCTGTAAGCTCAGAAAAGGAGATTTGGCAATGCATAAAGCCTCTTTGGTTACTTTAGGCTGGTGTCACCTAGCTCGAGTCTGCAGCCAATGTCAAAAAACACCCAGCTAGCACTGGAAGTTAAGAGTGATTTTAAAGTTTCTATCTTACAAACTTTCAAGGCAAGGTGTGACAGTTTGATATCATAGAATCATTTAGGTTGGAAAGGACCTTTAAGATCATAGAGTCAACCGTTAACCTAACACTGCCAAGTCCACCACTAAACCATGTCCCTAAGCACCACGTCTATGCATCTTTTAAATCCCTCCAGGGATGGTGACTCCACCACTTCTCTGAGCAGCCTGTTCCAGTGCTTGGCAACACTTTTGGTGAAGAAATTGTTCCTAATATCCAATCTAAATTTCCTCTGGCACAACTTGAGGCCGTTTCCTCTCATTCTATCACTTGTCACTTGTGAGAAGAGACTGACACCCACCTCACCACAACCCCCTTTCAGGTAGTTGTAGAGAGCGATAAGGTCTCCCCTCAGCCTCCTCTTCTCCAAACTGAACACCTCCAGTTCCCTCAGCTGCTCCTTGTAAGTCTTATTCTCCAGACCCCTTACCAGCTCCGTTGCCCTTCTCTGGACACGCTCCAGCACCTCAATGTCCTTCTTGTAGGGAGGGGCCCAACACTGAACACAGGATTCGAGGTGCAGCCTCACCAGTGCCGAGTACAGGGGCACGATCCCTGCCCTACTCCTGCTGGCCACACCATTGCTGATACAGGCCAGGACGCTGTTGGCCTTCTTGGCCACCTGGGCACACTGCCGGCTCATGTTCAGACGGCTGTCAACCAGCACCCCCAGGTCCCTTTCCACCGGGCAGCTCTCCAGCTGCTCCTCCCCAAGCCTGTAGCGTTGCATGGGGTTGTTGTGACCCAAGTGCAGGACTGGACACTGAACCCTGTTGAACCTCATACAATTGGCCTCGGCCCATCGATCCAGCCTGTCCAGATCCCTCTGTAGAGCCTTCCTGCCCTCGAGCAGATCAGCAGAAAGTGAGGTTTCTGAAAAGAAAATTTAACGACATTGTGCTTGCACTGTCATTGTATGACAATGTTGTACTTATCTAGCTATTCATCATTGCTTAATCCAAGTGCTGTACCCTAAGTACTATGAAAATGTTGGTGTATAGTTGCCTGCAGATACAGCGTTAGTGTGCATGAGCAGGGTGTGTTACTCATCTCCTTGAGTAGAACACAAATACAAAAATTGCTTATAAAAGCTGTGCCTAAACTGTAGAGAGGCAAAGAGTTAAAATAAATAGGTAGATGAGCTTTAACCCACTATGCAGGGAACAGGTGCAAATAAAATCATATGGATGTCAGAGAACATAACAGACAATTTCAAGCACTGTATATACATATACATTTGGGTAGATGGTCGTTCACAGACCTGCTTTATGAAGAACAGATTTTCAATATTAAGGAAAGGTTTAATCTTTTTCTTCTTTCCAGTGCAACTTGAGGTTTTTTCCTAAAGCACCTGCTTGGCTCAGATCTCTTGCTTATTGGACAGGTGCTTTATGAGGAGATCTGTAGGCTGCTTGAAAGTCTGAATGAAGAGTAGAGACAGCCTTCAAAGGAGGACTTGCTTACGTGGTCTTGGCTGGCTTGCTTTATCTTGAAAAACTAACAAGGGCAAAGATGCAAAAGATTGCATGAATATCCCACCCAATTGCAATCCCATATGATCAAAGGAATAACAGGAATACAGAATTAATGCAGTACCATGCACGCACTTGACATTATTACTGGCAATGATTGAACTTGAAAAGATTAAGATAAAGTTCAAATGAGCATCTGGGGGTTTCAAAACTTCTGAAAAATTACTCTTGAAAATAGGAAGAAAAAAAAAAGAAAGAAACACAATCTCAGCAGAAACTGTTAATGAGAACTCATGCAAAATATTTTCTCACCATGATCTATTTCCAGATGGATTTGAAATTAGACTGTAATTTTTCTGGATAGAGAGTTTTTTGTACTTTCAATTCAGTAATAGCAGCATCAGAAAAAAGACTTCCAACCTGCTTCACAAACTTCAGAGATTCAGCTGTGGTTCACCCTGAAATCAGAGTTGCTCTCGTTGTTCTCACAGCAAACTCATCCTCCCTCCCCTGCTCGCTGGTAAAGTCAGAAAGCTAAAAATGTCATCTTACAGAAGAAAGAAGTTCCACTTTGCTTGAATTAAGATTAATTTTCTTGGTGCATGTACTGTTTCCTCGTTAACAGCAAACCTCTGTACCTACAGACACTAATCTTTTAATGTTAATTTTCAGTCTGTACCCCCACAGAAGCTTCATTTGTTAGACACCTTTTCTGTACCTGTACACCCCAGAATTCAATCAGTTACAAATTGTGTTCATACAAAGAAAAGGGAGGGGGGGTAAGGAAGTCAAGCTTCTAAAATATATTTCTTTTTTTCCTTCATATTCATGATATGAAAAAAAAAAAACTTTTTACTGAGCTAGGAGGTCTTCTCTGAGCAAATACGTGTAATACAAGATTGGTTATGGGTTTTGAGCTGGTTATAAATTGAAAGGAAAGAAGACTGAACATGCGTTTCCGTGTTGATAGTTAAGGTGCTTTCTATTTCTTTTGGCCTTTTCTCCAGCTCTGCATGCAGTACTGGCCAGAGAAGACGTCCTGTTGTTATGGCCCAATTCAAGTAGAGTTCGTTTCAGCAGACATTGATGAAGATATCATCAACCGGATATTCCGCATCTGCAACATGGCCAGGGTAAGATCAGTGAAGTATCAGATTCCCTGTTTATTCTCAAAAATATATTTTGGCATAAGGAAGAGGCAGGACCAAGACTTGTGGTTTAGAGATGCTGAATCTCTCACCTAGGAACAAAATTCTACTGTATAATTTAGTAGCTACTTCCTTTAATTAACAATTGCATCAGTCTGTATTGATAAAAAACTCTTGGCGAAAAGTAGAAAGTGGATGATATGAGCCGAAAACCTGTATTTAAATTGAAAGCATTTTTCTGTGTATATTTGAGAACGATTAATCACTTAGTAGGCAACATAAAACCATCAGCATCATACGAAATAAACTGGAATAGTGTCAGTACCTCTCCATCTGTCATCTACTATGCAGTGTCTCTGAAGACATGCAACATTTACTGGCTAGACTGGGATTCCCAATTGCCATGTTTTTTCCCATAAATAAGTAACTGCCATTTCTGTAAGCAACTCTTTGTATCCCTCAGCCCCAGGACAGCTGAAATGATGGGAACAAAGTCTATTTGCACACTGGACCCTGGCAAGGAAACTTCAGGGCTGCAGGAAAGGGTTTTGGTAGAGGTTTTTTCTCTCATTAGTTGTTTCCCAGATTGATTATGTCTCCTTTTTTGTTCCTTTTTCATTTTTTCTAACCAGAAATGAAAACAGACTCCACAAATTACGTTTCCATGCTGTTTAATACGTCTGTCTCTGACTGTATGGTCAGAGCCTGCGCAGCAGTTCAGTTGTGGTGTTGCACAGTGAGCCTTGTGGTCCAAGTAGACAAATCGATAGATCAGATGCCCACCTTCCTACATCCCAGGCCAGCTGCCTGTGAACCAGGGACAGCCTTGAACTCATATAGCTAATAAAACTAAGGCTCTGTGACTCTCAGGATGAATCTGGCTCGTAAATGCATATCTGGCAGAGTGGATGCTGTGAACTCGCAGCACCCTGCACCCATCTATGTTTGACACCAATGGCTGCTGCTAAAATCTTTGTGAGGATCCCTTCCTACCACAGTCCCCAGAGATTTTTCTGAGGTCCTTCTTTGCTATTAGTTCTTATGGCACAATTAATCTCCAGCACAGGCAACCAGGAAATACATGTTTGATCTATTTGTACAGTTTGACAAGATTTTATTCTCTCTGGAAACAAAACAAGGGATACCATGCACCTAGTTTTTGCCTGGCTCTGTAATATCTGAGGTCATCATTGTTATCCAGATGACTGAAAAGTCCTTGGTTCCCCACCATATCAGGTATCCGGCGTGGAGGATGTTAACACTGATGTTATAAAATCCAGAGGGAAGATGCCATGTAACCAGTGCCCCGTGTGTTACTTATCTCTCTGCTTCCTGGCCCGCTCCATTTAGCATTTTGAAAATGCTCTTTGTTTTAGCCTCAGGATGGATATCGCATAGTTCAGCACCTGCAGTACATCGGCTGGCCAGCGTACAGGGACACCCCTCCTTCCAAACGCTCCCTCCTGAAGGTAGTCAGAAGGTTGGAGAAGTGGCAGGAACAGTATGATGGGAGAGACGGACGGACTGTTGTCCACTGCCTGTAAGTAGGACTGGAAAATGTCTGTAACCTCACAAAATGCTGTCTCAAGAGCACTGATTATGGATCTGGGAATTCAGTGGTTTGCCAGGCTTCAGCTGGGGAAAATGAAGTTAAATTGCATTTGTAGTACACTTCAAGTGGAATATTGGACTACATTATAGCATCCTGGCCCAGAGATTTTACTGATTGCGATGAGGAGTAGCTGAAAAAGCTCTGCTACTTTCTGTTGTGTAGGCAGGTCTCATGATTGGAGCCCAGACACAACCAAAGCAGTGCTGCCACATGTCCTGCTGTGAGCCCCAGAGCAGTGAGGAGCAGCACTGTGGTCCCTGAGGCTTCCCTGTCCACCACTGCCAGGGATCGGCTTAGCTCTTCCATCCCTGTCTCCTGCCCTGCAGGTCTTCACTTTCACAAACCCTTGAACGTCCTTGACCAGCCCTTATGTTACAGACCTTTCTTTAGTCTATGTGGCATGTAAGCTCTGTGTGAGTGGTGCTCTCCTCCGTTCCCTCAGCCTCACCTAGCTTCGCCTGTTGTCTCTTTTCTCCTGCACCCAGGAATGGTGGGGGACGCAGCGGCACCTTCTGTGCCATCTGCAGTGTGTGTGAAATGATTCAACAACAAAATATCATTGATGTGTTCCACATAGTGAAAACGTTACGGAATAACAAATCCAACATGGTGGAGTCACTGGTAAGCTTTTTTTCCTGCTTCTTATCCTACCCAGAATATGCAGAAGGGATTTAAGATAGATTAAAAAAATTAGAATCATACAATTATAGAATAGCTTGGGTTGAAAGGGACTTTCAGAGATCATCTAGTCCAACTCCCCTGCCATAAGCAGGGACGTCTTCAAATACATCAGGTTGCTCAGAGCCCCTTCCACCCTGATCTGGGATTTTTCCAGGGATGGGGCATCTACCACCTCTCTGGGCAATCTTGGCCAGTGCTTCACCAGCCTCATTGTCAAAAATTTCTTCCCTATATCTAGTCTGGATCTACCTTCTTTTAGTTTAAAACTGTTACCCCTTGTCCTGTCGCTACAGGCCCTGCTAAAAAGTCTGTCGCCGTCTTTCTTATAAGCCCCCTGTAAGTATTGAAAGGCTGCAATAGGGTCTAATTTTATGGCTTAGCCCAATATGAATCAAAACAAATCATAACATGAAGCTATCAGAATTAAAATCAGCCCCATTTTAGCACATGCAATGAATCGTCTGGTCCCACGGCTGCTCTCCTTGAGCAGAGGGGGCACAGCTGCCCTGGCAGTGTGATGAACAGCGTCTCCCACGCCCAGCTGCCTCCGGGAGGTTAAACCCCAAGTAGCTGTCGCCATGGCTGTGGGGAGGGCGTGGGATTTGTCCTCCTCTGCATGTGTGCAGCCCGGTGCTTAATGCCGTGACATGCCTTGAAACCGGGAAGGGAGAACAGCCCCAACCCCAAGGCCTTGCTCCCTGCAACCAAGGAGATTAAACTGTCCTGAATTCAATCATCTCAATCGATCACTGAATTCTTTCCTCAAGAGCAATGCGTGCAATGAGGCCTTGAAGCAAATAATGAATAGTCCGTACTGTGGCTGTCTTTTTGAGTGTTTTTCTCTTCCGTTGACGATACCATCTCTTACTAATGCTTGTTCAGGATCACATAGAAATACAATTAATGTTTTCCTGGTCCTGCCAAACGGTATAAGAAAGAGGGAGGAGGCAAATTTTGGCACCTTGTAGAATGAGACTCTGAAGAAGTTACTCGTATCCTAATGTCACTGATTTCTGTTCTCTCTTTCAGGAACAGTATAAATTTGTATACGAGGTTGCACTGGAATACTTGAGTTCCTTTTAGCCCGGCAGAGGGAGGGGAGCCTCCGAAACGCCAGACCCCAATCTCTGGCAGATGCTTCTCCCCTCTCCCACATGTGGAAGGCAGTAACAAGTGTGGGAAGGAAAACCTTTCCTTCCCAGAGCAAGAGACTGCGATTGCACAGACCTCGCTGGATGGAGGAGATGATGCCTGTGTTTGCTGCTGCCTGCTTTCTATCGGAACATCTACTGCTTCTTAAATAACCTAGTGTAAAAATTAGCAAAAAGGGAGACAAGCTGAAAGACTGGACTTTCTAATCCCCTCTGACTACTTCTCTCCTCTTTTGGATTGTATTTTTGCTCTCCTTGCTGTAGAGTGGGGAAAGAATGAAACGCTTAGGAAATTCTCTTTTAAATGTCTCCTTTTTAATTTATAATTTTGTTCTCAACTCCCGGTCTTTAATTTCTGAATTTCATGCAGCAGTCATTTGGGAAAAATGAGATAGCCATAGGGAATATATGAAATGTTTCATTACAATTTGTCTACTTTATGTTTCCTTTTATTTGTTTTTCCAAACGAAAAGACCAACACAAACAAACCCACTGGAATTCTCTTTCCATATGTAGTCCCTTTTAGCATGAAAATAGATGGTGGAGATGAGAAGCTGTTCATGGATTCACCGCCTCGGCTCCTACACATCTGTTTCCTCCCAGTTTCTGCTAGAGTCCCAAGGCTGTGCATGAACCGGTTACATCTCTCTGGTCTGTCTTCGTTTCAGCGCTGGTGAAGCGATACCATTAATGAGTTTCCCAGCCGCTTGAACCTTAAGGTTAAATATTTGCATCAAACAAATTGCATTTGTCTTGCAACTTTTGGTAACTTTGTTACCATATTTTTTCAAGTATTTGCTGGGGTGCAGTGTGTCTTTGAAAAACAGGGTATATAGTAGGTATTATTGATCATATACTATGTATTATTATTTTTTATTTATTATTTGTATTGCTGTAGAACTTAGGACCCC